CCCCCTCACCTCCTGCGCGGGTCTGTGACATCCATCTACCTGGATATCGGCGTTACCTTCGTAGGCCGCGGTCCTCCAGGAGCTATTACCAGGGAAGCGTGCCTGAGGCCGGGCTCGGTGATGGCTCTGCCTGACAGCCTATGTTGCCATCACTGATCCGAGGAGCTCCAAAATATAACTCATATATAGATACAGTTACACTGTCCATACAGAATCATTCGTTACAAAGTATATATATCCGCCGCTGATCTATAAGCGCCCCTTCACACCTAGGCGTAGCGGGAACGAGTGTCGTGTTCGTGCGTGTTCGCATGTGATTTCCCCCCCCCCACGTCTGACACGCAATCCCATTAATTCCAGTTGGTGCCACACACGTGTCAAATGCAGAAAAAACAGCAAAATACACGACATCCGTTTTCTGTCCCATGTCTGTGTGCGTTTTCAACAGCAAGCAAATTTTTTTCCCCAGCCGTGTTCGAGGTGCCATAAACATGTAATGGCAACCGCCAGCGCATTGCCTGTTTTTGATGCATTCTGCAAACGAGCGTCGAAGTGCAAATTTTTGTGCGCGTTTGCCGCACGTTCATGGAACGCCGAGGTGTGAATGTGGACTAGAAACGAGCAAGAGGGTTTTGTCCCCGTTCACACCCAGGCGTAGTGGGAATGTGTGGTGCATGCGCATTCATTTTTTCCCCTGTGTCTGATATGCACCCTCTACAACTTTGGTTCTCAACTGGTGGGTCGCCGTGTTCAGTCGGTCGCCGCATGCCTTCCACTTTTCTAGGTGAGAGGCTCCTCAGCGCAGCATTGTCAGTTCTCGCACCAAGCAGCCATTCAGAATGTCAGCTTGAGGTGGGATAGGTTGTGGCTATGGCCGCGAGGCAGCTCCATCCATCCATACATGCATTGCTTACAGCTCCCTCACGTGTCCTGTAGAGGTGCCTGGACCAGAGTAACGCACTGTACCACGCAATCACACCTACTACGCGTTCTGATGTAGGAGGTGCGTTGTATTGCCATTCGTTTGAATGGTACCCCAAACACACCGCCCACCGTTCGATCGCCCACGGTGCTGTGCAGTCCATTGCAGTGAGACTTGGGTCGCGACTTAATGACCAAGGACAAATGTGGGTCCTGAGGTTACACAGGTTGAGCACCACTGATCCAGAAGATATGTTGTCCGCACACCATTCTGCTGCGGAATGTCCTTTTTATTTGCTGCTAAAGGAATACAAATAAAAAGGACATTCCGCAGCAGAATGGTGTGCGGACAACATACCAGTTGTTCCAGCACCCGTTGGATTTTGGGGTACGCCGGTACGGTGTGCGAAGGGGATATTACAAAGTGATATGCACCCTGTGACTGCGATAATGAAGGTTGAGTCTATTATTATTATTTAGTCGGTTTGCCAGGTCTCTCTTCAAATTCCAAAAACCAGAGATCTGCTAATCTGGCCTGTGATCTTCAGTCCTAATTAACTAGGGAGGTTCCAGAATCCCCCTCTGAAACCTGTTTATGGCTGCCCCTAATGAAAGGCATACAAGGGGAATGGCGGAGCACTCACCTATTAGAAGCTGACAAGGTGATATAAACACAAGCAGGGCCTGGTAGAGTCAATGACCCAAGTGACCCGGCCTTCACCCTAACGTCATAAAACTGAGTTACAATATTAACTCAATTTTATAACTCGGAATTGGAGAGTGATATTGTAAAACTAGTGGTACAATTAGCTAGGTCTTGCCAAGATGAGAAAAGGCATAACAAAAATTAGATATTAACCAATAATTTAGGGGTTGTTTAGGGGGTCATTGAATATGAATACTCCAATATACTCTTAGTTATGAATTTGACTGTTTGGAAGAAGCAGAGGAGGACATCGTAAAGGCTCGTCCCTCCTGCTTTCCCACCCAGCCCTGCCCTAGGGGCCGACTCCATGACACCCTCTAGATGGTGCTGAGGCAGCTAGAGGAGGCTCCTGTTTGTAACATCAAGGAAAGGAACTCCGGCAACATCAAGAAGTTGTAACATCGGCGAAGAGTTCCTTCTTTAATATCTGGACATCATCTGTGCAAGCCTTGCTTGAAGAAGAGCCACTCAGACCTCTCTTTGCTTATTGAACTCTGGACTCTGTCAGAACTCCTAAAACAAGGACTGTTACTTTACAGGTTAGGGACGGCCAGACAGAGGCAGGGACCTCCTAGTCACCCACCCACCGGACCCGGTCCTTGCAATTACTGCGTTTTTGAGTTACTAAATGTGTATTAACTCATAGAGTTGGTGCTGTGATCACAGAACATGGCCGAGGACAAGAGCCAATATTTGGGAATATTTTGGAAAATCCGGAACAGTCGACATCCATGTGCATCCCATGTCTTAAAACTCCACCTCGTTGCAGATCTCCCGCTGAGCTGCAAAAAGATGCAGCAGGACCCATTTTTGTGTGCGTTGAGGTGCACATTAAGTAACAGAGGGGTAGGCAAACTTGGCAACCTCCAGCTGTTGTGGAACTACAAATCCCACTAGGCATTATAAGACTCTGACAGCCACATGCTGAATGATTACCAGGGGCAGAAGCATGATGAGATTTGTAGTCTCACCACAGTTGGAATGTCACAGTAGCCTATTCCTGGCCTGACGCACATGTGACGTAAAGCACAAAAACGCATGAATGGATTCTAAATGCAAACTGTTCCTTTTGACTAAAGCGTCACTTTTCTCCTTCAAGCTTGGTATCCGATGAAGAATCTGCGCCGGGAGTTTATTCTTCATATAATGGGAGAGGAACAGCTGCAGAATTGTATGATATATTATTTATTGTGTGGTAAGTGCTCCGGCGCCTTGGAGGAACGCAGCACCCGGCTGTTAGCACACTCTGAAGAACTACCGCCATGGAGAAAAAAATAACAGTTAAAGGGGCAGTCCGTTCCAAACTGATATTTTGGTGATTGGCGGGGATCACCTGACAGACTCCTCTGTCTCGCGGGGCAATCAGGTTGGTGTGATCTCTGTGTTGAGTTCTCAGGTCTGCACACCCATTATATGGTGCCCTACTCTTAGGTAACAGGATTGGCTGGAACACACAAAAGTGGGCGGGAATACCCAGAGATTGATCATGCATAACGCAACCTAAACTGGAGCATGGGGCCCGTTGGATGTCTAAGGGGCCAAGCTTCAACTTAGGCCTTAGCACAGCTGTGCACTTGCAGCGTCATGAGAAGATGCACAAGATGCATCAAGAGAAGATGCACTTGAAGGCAGTTGGCATGCGATGGGGTCATACCAGTACAGACAATGCAAATGGGTCCTCTTATTCGAGTCTATTGCAATCATTGTTAACATCAATCAAAGGGATGGGGAAGGTGGGACAAACAAAGGTCTACATGCCTAGGGGCCCAGATATGTGTTGAGTTCCTAGACCTGTGCTGAGTTCCTAGGCCTGTGTTGAGTTCCTAGGCCTGTGTTGAGTTCCTAGGCATGTGTTGAGTTTCTAGGTCTGTGTTGAGTTCCTGGGTCTGTGTTGAGTTCCTAGGCCTGTGTTGAGTTCCTAGGCCTGTGTTGAGTTCCTAGGTCTGTGCTGAGTTCCTAGGCCTGTGTTGAATTCTTAGGCCTGTATTGAGTTCCTATCCCTGTGTTGAATTCTTAGGCCTGTATTGAGTTCCTATCCCTGTGTTGAATTCTTAGGCCTGTATTGAGTTCCTATCCCTGTGTTGAATTCTTAGGCCTGTATTGAGTTCCTATCCCTGTGTTAAGTTCCTAGGCCTATGTTGAGTTCCTAGGCCTATGTTGAGTTCCTAGGCCTGTGTTGAGTTGCTAGGCCTGTGTTGAGTTCCTAGGGCTATGTTGAGTTCCTAGGCCTATGTTGAGTTCCTAGGCCTGTGTTAAATTCCTAGGCCTGTGTTAAATTCCTAGGCCTGCACACCCATTATGAGGTGTGATACTCCCACTGCTGGACTTTTTATTTATTTTATACAATGGAGAAGGTAACAGCTGCAACACCCAAAAATGGGTAGGAACAGCAAGAGATGGATCATCCATAAGGCAACTCAAGCAGATCTATACCCTACTCAATAGCGCCACTGTTCGCGTGTAACCACTCATTCGATCTGCTACATGCGATTTGGCTCAATGACCATCCCGGGGCGTCCTTTGGGTCCAGGAACGGCATTTTTGGCAGCATACAAGCAGGCCACAGCTATTGGTCTATCGTCTATGGTGTTTAGCAGCCTATTCACTCTTAAATATTTTTGTTTTAACGAGGCCCTGGCAGTCCATACATTTTAATGCAATGTCCGCTTTCAGTCCCTCAGAGACCCAGAGCATTGGAGAAGGAGGATCAGCATGACAGACTGTCAGCCAGCATCTTCCTCAGGAGAGGCCAGCACTGGCGGGCCTACGTGTTCTCTCCCATGTCATAACTCACGTTAAAAGCTAATTAAGCTAAGGCCTTGACTGCTCGGCAATACGGCCGTAATTGCATTATTCTCCTCCGGCCTTCGGGAAGGGTTAACGGCGAGCTCGGCGATGTATCAGATCACATTCTGCTTCAATTAACCTTAATAGAGCAATTTGGGCAACTGCCTGACTAGGGATATAAATGGCCGCTGTCATCTTACGCTCCGGCTCGCTCTGTAATTAGCTGCTGAGTGACTGCAAACAGTCTATGAGATAAACGCCCGGGTTCGCTCGTGGGCTTAGCTACGTCACGGATTTTAACCGCCTGTGGGCACCAGGCTCCGAACGACCGGACTCGCAGGCAATCGGTTCCTTGTTAGGCAAGGGCAGTGATCAACAAGGGGTTAAGTCTTGCGCCTATGAGCCGTTATTATCACCCCGTGTAAAAGGGGGGGCTGTTAGTGTTGATGCCCAACGAGCAAGCCGGCAATTATAGCGTTGCAGCTTGCGTTTGGGGTTGCTAGGCGACCGACCGCCACCTGCTCGAGTCCCAAATAGCTCTCGATGGAACAAAATGGCTACTAAGGGTCCAAGGACGCTGCTGGTTATGGTCCATCTGCCTGCTGGCGTGGAAGATTACGTCTTTGTGTCTGAGCAGGAAAAGCCAGTTTAAAGAGACCCTGTCACCATCTTCCCATAATATTATATGTGCATTTGTATGTGCAATCCTCCCTTGTGTAGACAGGCATAAGCCGCCGGGACTGCCACTGGAGGCTGCCATCTTGGATGTGATGTCAGCAGCCCCACAGCTGTCGCTCAAATGTTCCCATTTGCTCCTTCACCTGGCAGCTACATATAAGGTCAAGCAAGGAGGCGAAGGGAGGGGTGGAGGAGCCGGGCCAGCACAGACCGTACACTTCCAGAATAAGTGAGGGCTATAAAGTGCAAGGAGAGAGGAAGCTGTGCTGGGACCTGACTCTGATGGCTGTCATATTGGTTAGGATGCCACTGCTGCTCTAATTCTGAAAATGACGCCTATGAGGGGGGTTGCACCAGCCAGAGGTACCAGGTTGCTAAGAGCTTGTATTACCCTTACATATCTCCCCGCCCGGCTCTTACCAACCTCGGACGCTGTGACCGAAAACATTGTGCAGCCATGCCACTCTGCCTGCCACCCCCCCACGTGACCCAAAGAGATGCTGCCTGACATCGCAATGAACACCTACCTAGAGAGGTGGACCCGCTTCTCTGTGTACTGCCCGGCTCCATAGACAGGATCGTGGTGCGATCTGTTCTCCATGACCTCCACACCCTCTCCCCGATCGCTCTCCTGGTGGCTGTGCCTGCTGATGGTATACAGCTGCCCGATTCTGTACTGTTAATGAGAGAGATAAAGAGAGTTATATATAACCAGCAGACAAAAATTACTAAATCAGAGCAAAGACCCCTCCACAGGGGGGCAATATACTGTATGACCTTTCAGTGATATTACCATATGTTATTTTATTGGAAAGATCTCCCAGCAATGAGATCAATGTCCCACCCTAGGGTCCCCCCAATACCCATAACTCTAAAATTCACATTAACCCTCCCTGTAACCCCAACACTAATCCTCCCTGTAACCCCAACACTAACCCTCCCTGCAACCCCAACACAACCCCTCCCTGTAACCCAAACCCTAACTCTCCCTGTAAGCCCAACACTAACCCTCCCTGTAACCCCAACACTAATCCTCCATGTAACCCCAACCCTAACCCTCCCTGTAACCCCAACCCTAACCCTCCCTGTAACCCCAACACTAACCCTCCATGTAACCCCAACCCTAACCCTCCCTGTAACCCCAACCCTAACCCTCCCTGTAACCCCAACACTAATCCTCCCTGTAATCCCAACACTAACCCTTCCTGCAACCCCAGCACTAACCCTCCCTGCAACCCCAGCACTAACCCTCCCTGCAACCCCAACACTAACCCTCCCTGCAACCCCAGCACTAACCCTCCCTGCAACCCCAACACTAACCCTCCCTGTAACCCCAACACTAACCCTCCCTATAAGCCCAACACTAATCCTCCCTGTAACCCCAACACTAACCCTCCCTGTAACCCCAACCCTAACCCTCCCTGTAACCCCAACACTTACCCTCCATGTAACCGCCCCGGGAAGTGAGAAGAACTATCTCCAAAGTGAGTGGACATCCCCTCTTAGACAGTTGTCACCACCACAGGTGTCACCATTGGAAAATGTCCCCTCTGGTGACAACTGAAAACCTTGACGATGGTCACCAGGTCAGGTGGGATGGGGGGACTAACGCATGGATTAACCCCTTCACCACTGGCGGATGACTTCCAGCGGCAGATCTCATGCCGTCTGCTCTTTTGCTATGAATGGCTGAGAATTATATAGTTATCTTGTCTGGTGGGGAGGTGGAGGTATGGGGGGAGGGGCGAACAGCAAAATTGCGGTCCTGTTAGGGTCTTGTTACCACTGATGACCACCCAGAACCGTATGGCGGATCATTGTTAGAAGAAAACGGTTTAACCCTCATTGGCGCTATATAAATACCTGTCACAAATAAAGACAAAAAGCCATTTCTGGCCCCCATAACGGGTTACAGAGTGTGTTAGGCCTGCGTCACGCAATAATGTCACATCTGCGTTAATAGTGGCCTGGTCACCCAACGCTGACGACCCCCCTTCCTTCCCAGCACCAAGCTTTATCGGTACCTGTGACTCGCACAATTAGCGCCAAGACCGCGCAGCAAGCGTCCATCACCTTTGTTGCTATAGCAACACCATCCACCCCAGTGCGATTACACTGCGGCTCCCTGTCTTCACTGTCACTTTTCTTCCTCCCCATCTTCCTCTCATCTCTCACTTCCTCTCAGTGACTCTCTCTCACTTGTCACTTCTCTCACTCCCTGACAACACTCTGAAGGGGAATTTATCAAAACTGGAGCAGAAAAAATCTGGAGCAGCTGTGCATGGCCACCAATCAGCTTCTAACTTTCATTCTGAAAGCTTAACTGAACAAACTGAAGAGAGAAGCTGATTGGTTACTACAGGCAACTGCTCCGGATTCTGTCTGCTCCAGTTTTGATAAATCTCCCCCACTCTGTTTCTGCTTCCTCTGCACTCTCTCTGCTTACCTCTCTCCTCTCATTCTTCTCTTCCCCGCTCTCATTTTCTTCTTTCTCCCTATTGCCCCTGTCCTACTTCTTGTTTCTTTCCTTATCTCTTTTTCTTTGTCCCCCCTCCTTTTGCCCCACCACACTCCTCCTCTATCTTTCTCTCTCCTCCTCTCTCTTCTCCTCTCTCTTTCTCTCCCCTCCTCTGTCTTTCTGCCCGCCTCCTCTCTCCCCTCCTCTGTCTTTCTGCCCCCCTCCTCTCTCT